AAATTATCCTTAGCAGCCGGATCCGGGCAAACATTCAGTGTAAAATCAATCCTTGCAATAAAAGCAAATATAAAATCTCGATTGTTCAAAGTTGGGTGAAACCGGAGTTGGAAGTTGGGGAAACTTTTCACTGAAATGGCATTCACAAAGAACACATCTTTTGCAATGGCTGACTGATTAACATCGTTGTTTTGTTCTCTCATTAGTCTCCGGAGTAATCTGGATGCTAAGTTTTGGAATTATGGGCCAGGAGGGCTCCGGTCCCTGGCCACTCGCAGCTCAGCCACTTTACCCAAACGCCTCTGGGGAGATTTACTCCCGCATTATCTTAAACTTTAATCAGTCATTTGTGCTTTTAATTTAAGACTTGTTTGCGCGTCTCTCGACATTTTTTAAATCTTATGCACGTCTTTATGACACATAAAATGAAAAAAAAACGCGAAATGAAAAATAAAACAGTGTGGAGTGTTGATTTAAGGCAGATAACAATTTATTTTTGCCATTTTTCTCAGATAAAAATTGAGAATATTTTCTTTAATACTTCCGGATGTCGATTTAACTCCACGAATAAGACTTCTCAAACACAAACTGAGCCAACGAAAATTTCGTTTTGTTAACTTGTGACTCATAACTTGGTGAAGTTTGCGACACGAAAGCAAATATTTTCTCGAACATGTTGTGTTTTTCTTGCATTTGTCTAGGAGTAGTTGATCGAATCATTTACACCGAGAGAGTTTTCAAAATAAAACGAAACAAATAGTGATTGTTTCCGGCAGAGTGTATGTGAACCTTGGCAATAAATTAACAATTCTCGAATGATTTAACCGTCCGGTTATAAATTTCTGTTGAAAACAGCTCTGCGATAAAGCAGGGCTCTTAATATATCAAACCCCAAGATTGCATCCCCCGATCCCGGCCAAATTTTTAAAGAAATCCGATACAACGAGTTTCCCGTTTTGAGGAAATTAAAAGTGCAAATGGAACGGCTAATGCAGCGCTAAATTATGTAAACTTATCAAGCGAATTTATAACTTAGAGTTAATTCCGCTGCCTCATAGACTATAACGTTGTGAAATACTAATTTTCCTTAAAAGCGAGAGGAATAATTTAAAGTTTATCCTGCGGAAATGTCGGCCACCTATAAAATTACAAAATGAAAAATTACACTCACATATTCCGGATAATGTTCTTTCTTAAAGACTTTTAGCAGCTGCGATATAAATGGCCGGGAAAATTGTGCAATTTAAATTCCTTTGTAAGTCGCGTGTGTTCACGACGTGACGAGACACACATTGTCACTGATTTCAAACAAATCGAATGGTATTTGACTTGCCACCATTTAAAAAATATTTTTGTTTGCTGTAGGCCACCCAAGAGGATTAAATTTGTGTTTATTTATTCGAAATTGGGTAAATTGGTGACTCGCAACACAACTCATCACTTTTTTGCTAAATGGTAAATATTTACAATTCGGAGTGAAATGTTTTGATCCCATTGCAGGGGCTGACTTTCACCTTGACTGAATTTTTTATTGAGGACCAACAATTAAAATTTCTGTTTATAAGCATTTTTCTGAGTCTGTAGGACGGTTAGAAGTGGTTCAATCTTAACAAATTAAAAAAAAGTGAGATAAATACGTGTGGTATCTTAGAAAAATCAGGAAATTCAATTTTACGATAAAAAAGCTCACATGCTTTTATATTTTGATGTTTTCATTGAACAGGATCTTAATTCGCTGCACCACCACGCCCCCGGTCAGTGTTTCTGCTCATTTATGTACAAATTTTGGTGGATGCGACGGGATAGTGGACGTAGTATTTTTACTTATAGAACAAAATAAATTTGAAAACTTTAGTTTGGTTATAAAGGCAGCTTTTTTCTACTTTTAAGTTTTTTTTAACTATCGGATTCAAATGTTTTGTAGAAATTATGGGAGATCGCGGCATAGCCACTCGCGCCCCGTGTAGAATTTATTTGATTTGCAAATATTTTGTCGAAATTAATATTGAATTAATAAAAAATTAGACAGTCTTCAATCACAAAATCGCAATTAAAAAATATTTGATTCATTTTGATAAATCAGGTGATATACAGGCTGTGTCAAGAACTGGAAAAAATGCGGCATAGCCGCTTTCCCCCTTGTAGAATTCACACTATTTGATTTGCAAATATTTTGTCGAGATTACTATTGAATTAATAAAAAATTAGACAATGTTTAATCACAAAATCGCAATTAAAAAATATTTGATTCATTTTGATAAATCAGGTGATATACAGGGTGTGGTAGAACTCGCGCTTTGGAGTAAAATTTTAAGTAATATAGGATACCAGGAACATGGAAAAAATGCGGCATAGCCGCTTACCCCCCGTGTAAAATTCATATTTGATTTGCAAATATTTTGTCGAAATTAATATTAAATTAATAAAAAATTTGTCAGTCTTCAATCTTTAGTTTTCGATCACAAAATTACAATTAAAAAATATTTGATTCATTTTGATAAATCAGGTGATATACAGGCTGTGTCAGGAACATGGAAAAAATGCGGCAAAGCCGCTTTCCCCCTTGTAGAATTCACACTATTTGATTTGCAAATATTTTGTTGAGATTACTATTGAATTAATAAAAAATTAGACAGTCTTCAATCACAAAATCGCAATTAAAAAATATTTGATTCATTTCGATAAATCAGGTGATATACAGGGTGTGTCAGGAATATGGAAAAAATGCGGCATAGCCGCTCACCCCCCGTGTAAAATTCATATTCAATTTGCAAATATTTTGTCGAAATTAACATTAAATTAGTAAAAAATTAGACAGTCTTCAATCTTTAGTTTTCAATCACAAAATTACAATTAAATCATATTTGATTAATTTTGATAAATCAGGTGATATACAGGGTGTGTCAGGAACATGGAAAAAATGCGGCATAGCCGTTCGCCCTCTTGTAAAATTCACACTATTTGATTTGCAAATATTTTGTCGAGATTACTATTGAATTAATAAAAAATTAGACAGTCTTTAATCACCAAATCACAATTAAAAAATATTTGATTCATTTCGATAAATCAGGTGATATACAGTGTGTGGTAGAACTCGCGCTTTGGAGTAAAATTTTAAGTAATATAGGATACCAGGAATATGGAAAAAATGCGGCATAGCCGCTTGCCCCCCGTGTAGATTTCACACTATTTGATTTGCAAATATTTTGTCGAAATTGAAATTGAATTAATAAAAAATTGGACAGTCTTCAATCTTTAGTCTTTAATCACAAAATCGCAATTAAAAAATATTTGATTCATTTCAATAAATCAGATGATGTAGAGATGTGTCAGAACTTGCGCTTCAGAGTAAAATTTTAAGTAATATGGGATATCAGGAACATGGAAAAAATGTTAAAAATTTTTTATCTGTCAATAAATTTGGACATTTGACATTTTTTATGTATATTTAATAATACTCATAATCTTGTATATGTTTTTTTATAATTCTTTAGTAAAGGTACAAAAGTTTTGCCATTAAAAGCCACAAATAATAATAAACAGAGTTACAATTTAGGATGCAGCTTTCTTGTTTATTCTTCTAATAGCCTGTAGCAAAAAAAACTTGGAAAATTATTTTTCTAACAGAAATAAATAGTTAAAGTGCAAAATTTAAACTCTCATAACTTTCAAATTTTTATAAATAGATTTTGTTTCACATTTTGTCTGTTTCTGGTATTTTTTTTAAAACTGTAATAGAAATTCAAAAAATACAACGAAGAGTACAAAATTGTTTCATTTCTATTAATATCTAAGAATTTTTAATTAGCAAATTCTGAAAAGACCATTAAAAGATTTGTTGAAAGAGTAAACAAAGTGATACTGTTAATGTAATATGTCGAAAAGCAGTGCTGGAAACCTAGTCATAAACACACACCGGAAATCACTTCTGTTTGTAGAGACTGCACAGATTTTACGACATTGTTGATTGTTGACACGTCATTTCGTGACATACATTACCAATGATAGTGGTCGTTGTTCCGGTTGCTGTAAAGAAATTAAATTCAGGTGCGATCATTGTTATGGTCGAAAAATGTCAAAGTTCTGGAATAGCAGTTTCGAAAATTAATTGAGCAAACTTGAGCCGAATATTGGGCGGTCGTAAATTCAGTTCCGGGTGCAGTATTTACCGTCGCGTTGAAATAATGCACTAGAAATGAGATTCCGGAGTGTAGCGTTCCACAATTAATAATTAAGTAGTTATAAAGTAGGAGAAGAACGACCGGATTGTCATAATCATAAATCTCGCGTCCCTGGTCGACTTTACACCTTTGCCATTAAAGCCGGATATTAAATCAACGCCATCAATGGCCTTTATGTCTCTACATTCTTTCATTTACGACTACCATATCGCTTCTTTCTTGCAATAATTGCACGGTTTTACAGCCCGTGATTTGCATAAACATTGTTTTTCTTTTTTAGTGAGAAATGAAAAATGAAAAGTTTGCATTACATATGGGTATCACATTCGACTTGCTTACATAACTGAATAAAACATCACTCGAACGTTTCAGTAAAGTCCTGTTTTTCATGCTCGACTGTTTTTCCCGAAGAATTTATTTTCAATAATTCGACGGCTGAAGATTAAAACCCTCTCGAAAGAACATCAGATATTTGCTTTTAAAGCAAATACAATTAAGGAATTCCGAATCAGAAGCATTTGAGATTAAATTCTTTGAAGGTTTTTTCTCCGTTTTCACTTTATTATTAAACAATTTGTTTTCGTTGTGAAGTCGCTTGGTCTCTCATTTAAAACGCCTAAATAGAAAAGTTTAGAACTAGTCTCTGGAGTTGGCAGCATTGACGGATAGCCCCAGGGAGACACTCGTCTCGACTACTCGAGATTTTGGCAGTGCAAACTATCAACACAGCGATTGTGCGAAAATTGGGACCATTCGTTTTCTTTTAAATGGTTTGTTGTGTTGGAAACATCTGCCAAAAAAAAAAAAAATAAGAATTACCTCCGAAGACGTCGCACCGCAGGGTGAAGGAAGCGCCCTCGGGGAAGGGCCCCACGACGGACTCCAACTGCGCCCCCGACTCGTTGGTGATGACGATTTTTTGCGGTGGTACTGAAACAAACGACTGCGAATTAATTATTTTTCTCGCTTGTAAATCACAGAGATGTGCAGTGGTAATTTTCGTGCCGTTTTGAATAAAGATCTAGGGAATAATTGAGAGTTATGACCGAATTGCGTGTTCCTCTCTCTGACATAATGAGGCTAAAGCATTTTTACAAGATGCGTGATCGCAACATTGAGTGAAAACTGCCTTGATTATTGCACTTGCATGTCGATCATCACAAAAATCCACTAGTTTGTCCGATTTAATTGAAATTTAATCTCATTACGCAAGCAAATAACTTCCCGAATAAACAGAATTAAAATCATTTGCTGTACAATAACGGCGAGTAGGAAATGGCAAAGTCGGTGTGCACAGCACTTAACAACCGAACACATTAATTTCCCTTCAGCTACGATCTATAAATGCGCTTGAAAGTCTATCTTATTTCGGCGAAATTGCACTTTATTGTTCAGCCGAGGAATAAAAACATAATGTCAGGTGTACGGCATAAATGATTAGTTTTAAATGCGACACGAAATCACGAACGCGCTCAGGGCCGTAACCAGGTTTTTATTTCGGGGGGGTTTCTTGTTGGTCCATGAAAATGAAATGAAAGAAGACGGATTAAAAAGCAAAAATCTCTAAGTACACGTTTTTATTTTAAATTGAAATAAGAGATCCTAATTAAACAAAAAAATACAAATTAACTCACAAAAGTAACAAAAATAAAATAAATTTTAAATACTATTTATTGTTACAAATTTAAACAGGAGATGAATATTCATTTTTAAAACAAATTTTTTTTATGAACATATATCGAAAAATGCTACTCAAGGGGTGCGTCTTTTAATAGTTTTTTTTTTAATATTTCCGTAATCATTTTAGAAAAAAAATTCAAAATTTGCTCCAGATGATAACTTTTAACCTAAACAAGTACAAAAATAAAATGTTGAAATTTTTAATTAGGTGCTCCCTAAACTAGATGTAAAAATTTACTCTGGCTATTTTGCCTGTGGTTTCTTGCCACTTTCAGCAACAAAATTTCATAGTTTTTCATAAAAAAAGGTCTTTTGTGTTTTTCCGATACAATTTACGGATCTTTAGTAAAAATCGGTTTAAAAATTTATGTTACAGACCATAAACAGCATAAAAATTAAAAATTAAATTTGTTTTACCGTTTAGGATGCCCCTGATTAAAAATTTTGTTATTTGGCATTTGTTTAAGTGAACCAAATTTTGTAATTTTATCTATTCTGAAATATTAGGAAAAACCCTTTAAAAAACGTACCTTTTTTAGGGGGGTGTAGCTCCTTTTCATAGCATTTTTCAAAACACTTTTATCTTAAAATTAAATATGCTATTAACTATTTAAATTTGTACCTAACAATAAAAATGAAACACTGTATAATTAACACATGAAAAATTTATTCACAAAAATTTAAAATTAACACATTAAAATAACAAAAAAACTAAATTTTTAACACTTATAACACTATACAGGGTGCGCCAGAACTCGCGCCCCAGAGAAAAATGTCATATAAGGTAAGATACCAGCAACATGGAAAAAATGTGTTAAAAAAAAATTTATCTATAAAAATTTCGAAGTTATGAGGGTTTAAAGTTTGCTTTTTGACTTTATTTATTTCTGTTGGAAAAATAATTTTACAAGTTTTTTTGCTATAGGCTATTAAAAGAGGTAGCAAAGAAGCTGTATCCTAAATTGTAACTCTGTTTAATGTTATTTGTGGCTTTTATTGGCAAAATTTTTGTGCCTTTACTAAATAATTGTAAAAAAACATATACAAGATCATCAGTATCATTAAATAGACATAAAAAAATGTCAAATGTCAAAAAATAAATGTCAAAATTTTTTGACAGATAGAATTTTTTAAACATTTTTTTCATGTTCCTGGTATCTTACCTTACTTGAAAATTTTCTCTGGGGCGCGAGTTCTGGCGCACCCTGTATAACAAAGTGCTCAGCATTTCTGGGGGGGTTTGAACCCCCTAATCTTCCCCCTTGGGTACGGCCCTGAACGCGCTTAGAAGCAATACTTGGTATTGTTTCTGTTGTCACCAAAAACATTTTTAAGCCCATAATTCGGATCCGGGCTTAAAATTCTGAATATTTCACCGTTTCAGGAAAAGCTATTGTCTAAAGCTTTTCCGGCTGCTGAATTATAAAAGACCAGAGGTCATCGTAAACTTGCAGAATACTTAGCCTCTGTGTCACATCTCTCCACCCCCGTTAAACCTTCCCTTTGTTTATAAAACAGCCAAACGAGATTTATAACAAAATAGCAAAATAAAAACTACAAGATTTTTATTTAACACTTGCTTTCGTGATGTTTGAGGGTATCGATTTATGGTAAAGCTGCAAAGCCGGGGCGCTAGTGCAATTAATACCCAGCAAATACACAGAAACTAGATAAATATGCACACGAGCTTTGTTATCAGGCTGAAAGCATCGCGTTCTCTTGACCAGGGCTTAGGGGGGCACGTGACAAGTGGGCGCCGTCACAACTACCATAAAACTATCCAAAAATGGTTAAAATTTCAAAATTTATCTACAAACTGGAGACTTTGGCCCAAATCAACAGAAGGAATTGCCTTTCTGGCAAAAAACTATAGTATGGACGAAACAAGATACAAAATTGCTCGATTTTTTGGACCTAAAAAAAGTAGTACGGCGCTTAGAGCGTTTTACCGTCTCAGTTTCAAATCGTTTTAAATTAATTTAAAGTCAACTAGTGTACTAATTGCTTGGAAAAAAATGCAAAAATGTTTTACATTTTTAATAAGCTGTGAAAAACGAACGACTAAATTTTTCATGTAAGAAAAAAATATTTAAAATTCAAAATCTGTGCTCTGTTTCATGTTTTTCAAAATGCTGCGAATACGGTTGAAGACACAAGAAAAATTTAAGAAAGAAAGTTGCAGAGAATAAAATTTTCTAGTAAAAAGTCCGCCAGCTTCTAGGTTCGACCCCGGGTAAAGTAAACTATTTTTTTCTGTATTTTACCAAAAATTGAAATAAATCATAAAAAAACTAGATTCTTATTAGGCCCATTAAAGCAGCATTTGCTCATTAGGGTAAATCCGGAAAAAATAGGCCAACGGGTAAGATAGACTTTGGAACTTTTAGAAGAGTTTTATTCTAGGGCTCTAAATTAGTTTTTTTTTTAAATTTAATTTTGTTAATTTTCACATTGAACTTTAACGATTTTTTTTAAATTAAAACATGAAATTGCAAGATGTGTACTTCGTTTCTATCTTTGATTTGATGCATTTTTTGACGAAAATTTTGTATATTTTTTAATTTGATGTTATTTTCAAGCCTATTTATCAACAAAAAAACACTTTTTGAATTAAATTCAATAAGATTTAAATTCAACCAGTGTACAAATTGCTTAAAAAATGCAAAAATGTTGAGTTTTACATTTTTAATAAGCTGTAAAAAACGAAGGACTAAATTTTTCACGAGAAATATGAGAAAAAAATATTTAAAATTCAAAATCTGTGCTCTGTTTCATGTTTTTCAAAATGCTGCGAATGCGGTTGAAGATACAAGAAAAATGTAAGAAAAAAAGTTGTAGAGAATAAAATTTTCTTGTAAAAAGTCCCATACCTTTATGGTTTAGGCCTCAAAGACGTTCAAAGCCGCTCATGCGACCGATTCGTTTCATTTTTACTGGTGATTCAGTGCCAGAAGAACACTTTAAAGCAATTTAAACCTAAACCGTTGAAGATAGAAATATGGTCTAGCAGACTTTTTTGTAGCAAATTTTATTCTCTACAATTTTGTTTCTTACACTTTTTTTCGCAGCGTTCTCAAAAATTGAGCGGAAAATGATAATTGTTTTTTTTAAAAACGTTTTTCGTTATTTTTGAGAACGCTAATAAAGATACAAAAAAGTGTAGAGAAGTTGTAGAGAATTAAATTTCCTACAAAAAAGTCCACGAGACCATATCTCTATCTTCAATCGTTTAGGTTCAAATTCATTTTTTGTCTCTTGACCACCGGTAAAAATGACACGTATTCGTCACTTGATCGTCTTTGAACGTCTTTAGGACTCAAACCATTGATAACTCGCCGAGTTTTTTCTTGAAAATTTTATTCTCTACAACTTTCTTTTTTATATTTTTCTTGTACCTTAACCGTATTCGCAGCATTTTCAAAAATATGAGACGGGGCAAATTGCTAAATGTTTAAAATTTGTTTAAATGTAATTTTCAATAATATTTTTGCATTACTTTCATCTCTTATTATTGAGAATTTAATGCCCTATCTGTCTACATTTTTTTTATTTGCGTTTTGCTCACCGTTATGTAAAAATAGCCATTTTTTTGTTTCATTGCTCTTAAAACTTAAACTGGAAAGGCCCGTTTCATAATAAATTACAATCTAATATTATTATTAGATTTGTAGCTTGTAACTTTTAGAATGTGGTTTCATATAAAGAAAATACAAAAGTACAAATTACATCTTGTAAAACTGAAAATACAAATAGATTTTAACATATTACAAGTATTTCTGTTTCATAATTTTTAGCAAATAATAATAATGACATAGATTTACCTAAATTTTACAAGTACTATTGTGCAAGTCTCTACATACCTGTAGCTGAAAGTATTAGTTTCTTTAAAGACAATTTCATTGTGTAAAGCAGTGCAAAATTTGGCGGCACCAAGAAAAAGGTAAGTTTAAAAGTTGTTTATTTACCTATAATACACTGTCTAAAATATTTTATAAAAATAATCTTGAATGTAAAATAAAATAATATGTACTATAAAAACAACAGTACGTTTATTACAAGTTAATAATAAGAATACTTTTTTTGAACTTGCTGTTTTTTGATAATTTCATTCATATTTGGTCGTAAAAATGACAATATATCGTCTTCGACATTTAACAGTCTCGATATTTTTTTCGTTTTTATGTGGGTTAATACAGAAAATCCCACTTCACACAAATAAGATGTAGATCATGGGATAATCGACATCTAAT